CAGTACACAAACATATATTATGTAAACAAAAACTTTTCTTTTGGATGCGATTAATCATCATTAATCGTTTGAAAGCACTAATATATATATATATATAGTATTTTTAAAACTAGTTTTACTAAACCAAACATGTATTAAAATTTTGACTTCTACAATATGTAAACAACGATTTAGTTAAATCTGCTAAAACTGGGCAATTTTTCAAGCCAAGTTTAATAGCTCTAATGGACATGGGTTTATGAATTTACATTCTAAACAAGAAAATCAAAGCATAAGAGTATGGAGGGCATGTAAATGGCAAGATGACGTGATGCACATGACAGTGTGTCTCTTAGGGATGCAGGGCACATCCCATATCACATATATGAGCACATCCTGAGCACGTCTCCAGCAGCAGGAGCAGGAATGGCTTGGCAGAACAAACAAAATCGATTACTGTTTCTCTTTGAATATACAACAGTCAAATATGTGGGCACGCAGAATAAGAAAATCGGACTTCTGTACAGAATATTTCAACTCACTATCATGGGATATCTCATTGGGTAAGAGCTATAATTAATTTTAGTCTAACCACAATCAAAAGTTTTGCTTGAGCTTCAGGTAAAATCATCTTATGTGATGATTCCAGCTGTGAAACAGGTACAATTTTTTTTAGCTTCTACTGGTTTGATGGCAAATATTTAAACATATTTTACCTCAACAGATGGGTATTTTTGAAAAACAAAGGATACCAGGTAAAAGATGATACTCTCGAGAGTTCTGTGGTAACTAAAGCTAAAGGAGTTGCACGTGTCAACACAACGGATTCAAATTTGTGGGGACCAGAGGACTATGTTTTCCCCAACCAGGTGAGTCGAACCAAACCGTAGTCAAAAAAGTTTGAGTTAGTTCTGATAAGTTTCTTTTCAATCATATTCATAATGATTTGCTTTATCATTAATTTGCTTCAGTAATAAGTCTTTTGGTAAATTTTTTTTCCAGGGTGAGAACTTTCTTTCTATAGCAACCAATTTCATCGAGACACCAAACCAAAAATTAGGCAACTGTTCAGAGGTAAGAGAAGAAATTTTCTCTTTACCATTTATTAAAACTTTTACGATCAACATCTCACATCTGCACTTTCAATAACATTTAACTCATCTGCTGTTCTCTAAAAACATTTATATACAAAATAAAACATATTTGTTTTTTATTCAGTGACATATTCTTTAAGAAAAATCATATAACTGTTTGACATTGTTGCATTAGTTGCTGATTACAGTCAGCTTGGTATCTGTCGTGTTCCATTCAGGCCATTAGTGTAAGAGCGTGTGAGAGCACTGTGGTTATTCGTATGAACTGATAGTGAAACACTACAGTGCTTTTACTTCCACATTATCAGGCAGATTTAATAGTTTTTATAGGCTTGCTGGTTTATGTTTCGATTTCCATACCACCATCTCTTATGTGTTGTGAGTCTCAGGGGCCATTCATATAGAAAGAGACTCAGGGCATTTAGAGACAGAACTACAGAACTAACTGGGTGTTGATTGAACAGGCGCTTGGGGCTACCAATACACACACACACAATTTTAATTTAATTATATATAATTTTATAAACGTTTGTTATTTTAAAATTATTTACATATAGGTGTGCACAACTTGGCCAAAAAAATTACATTTAAATTATTTTGTCAAAGGCTATATAGCAGTTTTTACAGTGATATGTAGTTTAATCTCATATGAAAATGTCTTATATTGCTGCTGCTTAAAGGGTTAGTTCACCTAAAAATGAAAATTAGCATTTACTCGCCCTCAAGGCATCCTAGGTGTATATGACTTTCTGCTTTTGGATGAATCCAATCCAGTTAAATTTAAAAATTGTCCTTGGTCTTCCAAGCTTTATAATGGCAATGGGCGGGTGTTTTTTTTTTCAACAGTCCAAAAGAAGTCAAATAAAGCACATCAATAATAAAAAGTGCTCCACATGGCTCCGGGGGTGAATAAAGACCTCCTGTAGCGAATAGATGTTTCTCCGTTCTCGTAAAAATGGTCTGTTGACTTCCTGGATCCTCCCTCAGAAATTCGCAATGGGCTCATGATGCTGCGTTCACGCCATGTCGTAATTACCGTAATTCTGAGATGACAACACGTGACATTTTACTCATAGCTTTCCATGTTCTTAACCCCTGATTTTCACTCGCTGACAGGTTTTGCTAAATCGCAGACAAATGCCCAAAATCTGAAGCAAATCGGTGCTCGTTCATGTGAGTGAAAATCACGCAGTGTGAATTATCAAAGACACGATCTGAGGGAATCGTCAACGCCCGTGAAATATTTGGTATGCTAAATATCTGGACCTGTCGGCGATTCAAACTCCTGCTGTGTGAAATGAGTTCTGACTGAAAAATACGTCAGCAATGACCTACAGCCAATGAGAGAGCAAGATACAGGGCAGCGGGAAATTCGGGGAGGAGTTATATGAAAAGTAGCTTGCGGACCAGACAGAGTTGTCGGCGATTCTTCCTGTGGTAAAGTCAAGCAGTGTGTAACCTCCTGTCTCCGATTCATCGTACAATGTGAACACAGCAGCAACTGAATGCTACCCCAGATAGTCGTGCAGTGTGAAAACAACGGTGATCCGACTACTTTGAAAATCGTGCAGTGCGAACTCGGCATTAGTAGTGCCTAAATGAATCTGGCGGCAGTCAGGTGGTACAGCTGTCACTGGTCCAAATCGTAACTCTCAGAACATTAAGAGTTTACAAGTTGTAATTACGAGTTTTGGAGCATGTGAGGGCTTTGGCATTGATAGTGTTGCCATAGAAACACATAATTCAGCTCCGAGTAGAATGTCACGTGTTTTCATCTCTGAATTACGGTAATTACAACATGGCGTGAACCATAGATATGTATAGATTCCCCATTCGACGGCTACAGGCACATAGATGCGGCCGCCATCTTGGAAAGGTCAACTTGACGTCATTCACCATACTGTAGGTTCTCATAGAGCCGTTGAGCCGTTCTGTGCAGGATTGTGGCATCTTTCGAATATTCAGTGATTACTATGGTGAATGACGTCAAGTTGACCGTTACAATATGGCGGACGGTTTACGTATAACGGCCCATAGAAACAGTCGCTAATGAGGCATCTACGTATATATATCTATGGCATGAACGCCCAGATTGGTTAGCTGGCCAAGTGTATTGTAATTCGCCAACCGGCTATAGTGCTCGTTGTTTGGAGACGTCACGCCTCTTACCATAACGGGTAGTTGCATGTGCTCCCGCCCTGCGTTCCATTTGGAAAGGCTCATCCTTATGCCCTAATTCCTTCAAAGGGTTTACCCTCCGGAGTGAGAGCTTCGAAGGGTTGAAGGGTGTAGGGGACCAAACAACTGTTCCTTGAAGTGCCCTTCTGCGTCATCATCCCGTGCCCATATGGAGACGCCGTCATCATGGAAAAAATCCGCGCAAAGGATCATGGTGGATCGAAGTGTCCATCAGTTGTACCCTTCGAAATCCTTCATTTCGAAGGGCCCTTTGAAGTGTCCAGTTATGAGCACTTTGGTTTGGAACGACCCTTCAATATGGTGGGCATGTTTGTTTTCACTCCGAAGTGCCCTTCGGAGGGCGATATATCCCGTTTGGAATGCACTGCCTGTGTATTCTAAACAATGGCTTCAATATTGCCTTATCAATTTGAGCCCGAGTCAGACCCAGAGATAGATATTATTGAAGAGGATCAACCAGAAAATATGCAAGCACGACTTTTATAAGATGTTTCAGAATAGTATGTTTTTTGTAGTTGTCTCATATTTTTTAGATACGCTGTTATTTGTAAATGCTACTGCTGTTTATGTTATCTTTTGATATATGGTTTTATCCTTACTAAAGCTTTGGTTGTAAAGTTTACTACTTTCCTCGAAGGGATTATTTGATTACAGACTGCGGATCTATAGTGATTGCTAGTGCACCGTTAGTTTTGTCTTTGTAGAACGAGTGTAGCCAAATATCTGTCTTCAGAACTACGAGCCCATTACAAAGACTAACCATGGCTTTACTACAGTGGCCAAATTAAACACAGAACCATATTTAGCATGCATGTAGCTAAACGAGCATAAATGCTATAATCCAGGAATAGTTTACACTGACCATATAAACACCAACATTTGGAGTTTGCTGGTGGGATGAAAAAAAACCTATGTATGTGTTTGTAGGCATTTGACGGATGAATTAGCATTTTGCTAAATGGCTAGCGGACCTAACAACACTCTACTACAACAACTCTTCCAAAATTGGCTTAATAAAAAAAAATACAACAACTCTTCCTCTTCTCTATAGCAGCCCAACATGCCCCCTACTGAGTGTTTCTGGGGGCAGGGTTTATGTAAATTTCAGGGTTTGTGATGTCACTAACCCAGAAAGTAGCTCGTTGTAGTCCCTACCAGCTGTTTATTGTATTTTTATTGTAATATTTCAATAATTTAACAAAACATTTGCATGTTTACAGTTCAATGTCGCTAAATGGTAGCATTGAATGCAAGTAAACAAATTAAATATTTCTATTTTTAGTGTTCAAATCTTTAAATACTTTATTTTACATTTTTATGATTTAATTAATTAGCTTTTTAACAACTCACAAGCCCACTGCAGTTCTTGAATTAAGCCCAGTTTGGAAAATCCTGGTTTCATAAAATTTAATTACCGTATGTTGACTTAAAAAAATGGAATATATTTTCTTTCTCTTTGCTTTTGTATATCAGTATGGTATTGTAATTGTAGTTTTAAAACAAGTTAGATTTTAAAAAAAAAGTAATCTAAAAAGTATACATTACCTAAAATGAGTAACCTAGATTATGTTACTAACTACAATTTTCATAATGTAGTCTGTAATCAGTAATAGACTACAATTTTGTAGGTACACAGCTCTGTTTATATCTCACAATTACCTTTTTTACCTTAGAATTACCTTTTTAAATTCTTATCCTATGGCATCTTTTTGTTTTGTTTTTTTAGAACCCAGAAGTACCAAATAACACATGCTCTAAGGATGAAGAATGCACAGTGGGAGAGGCTGTTAGGGCTGGAAACGGTATGATTTAAAACAGCTTAATATTTTTTTTTTTCCGCAAAGTAAGCTGATAATCAGTTAATGTATAATGCTAGCATAATAAGCCATGCTGCATAATACATTTTCCATCCGCAATTTTGCCATTTACAAATATGCAAAAACATACTAAATGGTTTCATTCTCTTTAGGAATTAAAACTGGCATTTGTCTGGAAACACACAATGGCACTTGTGAAATATATGGCTGGTGTCCCACTGAAATACACAGGGATCCAGAGTAAGATCCTATGGCATCTTTTTGTTTTGTTTTTTTAGAACCCAGAAGTACCAAATAACACATGCTCTAAGGATGAAGAATGCACAGTGGGAGAGGCTGTTAGGGGCTGGAAACGGTATGATTTAAAACAGCTTAAAAATTTTTTTTTTCCGCAAAGTAAGCTGATAATCAGTTAATGTATAATGCTAGCATAATAAGCCATGCTGCATAATACATTTTCCATCCGCAATTTTGCCATTTACAAATATGCAAAAACATACTAAATGGTTTCATTCTCTTTAGGAATTAAAACTGGCATTTGTCTGGAAACACACAATGGCACTTGTGAAATATATGGCTGGTGTCCCACTGAAATACACAGGGATCCAGAGTAAGAATATTTTCTCTCACTCTTTAAAGTACAGTTACAATGTTCATCCCAGACAGTGTATGCAATTAATAAAGTAATTGTCAATATCAAGTTTAAAATAAAAAGTAAGGTCACCATGAGACTTATTTTTTTAGCCCAGCCACCATTGTGAGAGAAGCTGAAAACTTCACTTTGTACATAAGAAACTTCATCAGATTTTCCCAGCTCAACTTCTCAACGTAAGAAACTCACTCTGATGCATCCATTGGTAATGTGTGTAAACCCTGTCTGCTTTTATGTTAATTAAAAAGCACACAAAACTTTACAATATAAAACTATTTACTGTATTACCACTCAATTATCTCAAATGTTGTTTTCCTTCTCAGATCAAATGTTCCGAAGGAAAACAGATCATTGTATTTAAAAAACTGCTTGTATGATGAAACTGTTTGCCCATACTGTCCTATATTTCGCCTGGGAGATATTGTGAACAAAACTGGAAATAAGTTTGAAGAAATGGCTCTAAAGGTGAGAATAGTGAATGTAGTTTTAATGTGAGGCAACATTTAATTTAATAGACATTTGCTTATTACACTGAATCTATTATTTTGATATTATAATGCCAGGGTGGTTCAATTGGGGTTCTGATTGAGTGGCTCTGTGACCTTGATGTAGACTCAGAATGTCGTCCTCACTACAGCTTTGTACGTCTGGGCAAATTGTCAGAAAAAATCGGATTTGACTTCAGGTACATTCACACTGCTCTTTTACTAGTCAAAATCAATCCGGGTCCTCTTTTTCTCTTTCTTTCTTTTTTTCTTTGAAGTTGAGTCATTTTCTGTCATTTTCTGAGGTCCCAGTTGAGGTCCCATTTGATTTTGGTCTTTTTTTCTGGTGAAAGAAATACATAAATGAAGAAGAAAGCCAAAATACGAAATGCCATGGATGAATATTGATTGCGTAATCCACTGTTTTATAGAAGGGGGTCAAAGTGATGATTTTCACCTGAGATTCTGAGCCAAGTTACAGTGGGGAGGTTAAAAGGAGTATTAAAGATATCATGATGTCCTTTTAGATTTTGTTTCTCATGTAATCTTTTTTAAGTCAAGTCAAGTCAAGTCGAGCTTTATTGTCATTCCGCTACAAATTGTCGTGTCTCGCAGGACCACGGTGCTATAAATAAACATAAATATAAACATACAACACTAGACATAAGAACAATTTTTAAACCTATACATAACTAACTTACTGAAAGCGGTAATCTAACTATACATATACTATAAATAGGTTATGTATATGTATAGTCAACTAAGACAGATTATACAAGTACTTTACATAATAACTGTGCATGATATTGTGCAAAAGAGGTATTTAAGGTTAAGAAGCAAATAGTGCAATATGAATTGTGGTGCTTTCACAAGTAAACATTTGTTAAGTCCTTAAGTTCTTGTAACATGGAGTGTTTATAAGAAAGTGTCTGGTGCATTTAGAGAGAAAAGAGTGTGTTTCTACAGGTGATTTGTTCAGCCCACTCAGAACTGCACAATGTTTTTGAGGTTTTCAATGGTTTACATGTGGTGTGGTTGGGTGGGGTGGGGGGGTGCCAGAGGATCTTGGTTTTAGGAGGTAGGGTTGTGGATGGGGTTTCAGAGGGGGGTGAGGTGATTGGAATTGAGGGCTCTCACAGCCTGGGGGAAAAAGCGATTGAGGGCTCTCACAGGCTGGGGGAAAAAGCTGTTGAGCAGTCTGGTGAAGCAGGCTCTGATGTTCCAGTACCGTCTAGCATTTTATTTTATGAAAATGAGATAAAGAAGTTTTCGCACTGATCTCGCGCTCAAAGAACTTAAGACGTGCTAGGAAATGCCTAATATGGACAAAGGTATCTATGCTGCAGCTAAGCTGAATAAAAAGCTGAATGAACTGATGAAACGTTAAGACGATAAACACAATAAATAAATAAAATTTATGAATGATGCAGTGCTAATTGACATATTATTTATTACAGTACAGAAACTATAAAGTATATTTTCTACCTAATTCTGTGCAGAAAATTGAAATAATTGTTTGTAGTATATAAAACAAAACTACCCAAAGATTCACAGCCATAGTTGCATAGAATGTGCCAATGTGCATGCCAAAATAATATTTTTCTCCCTGTAATTTGGCACCAAATCTCTGGTGAAAATAGTCATTTTGACCCCCTTTACAAAATTGTGGATTACTCCGTAAATATTAATGAATGGCTTTGAATATTTAGGATTTCATCACAATTTATGTTTGTCTTTCTTCAGAAAAAAATATTAACAAAATTACAAATTTGAGCAAGGGGAGTTTCTAAAATTTGTTTCATTTGACATGGAGTGTGTCAGGATCATGGACCTGTTTTGTTATGTTTTGCCCCTGTTTCTGTTCCTGTGTTCCCTTATTTCAGTGGTTCCCAAACTGGGGGGCGCGAAGCTATGACAAGAGGGGCGCGGCAAGGCTGAGGGATAATGTACATTCAGCAGATTATTTTGCAAAAGAAACCTCCGCAGGGTGATAAAGACTACACATTGCCTGATAAGTAAATAATTGAACGCAAAATATTAATTTGACTTATTTTAATTACCTCATCATGACTTGCAGTACCCGCTTGAGCGCTCCGTTATCAGTTGTAGCAGTTGTGGTTGTATCAATAACAGACCACTAGATGGCGCGATTGAAGAATCAGAGTTGTATTGCAGGGAGCCATGTAGAAATATAAATGAACAATGCATGGTTCTGCTCTAAGCAAGTAAGTTACAAGTTTGTGAAAATACTGCCAGTACCAGGTAAACATAAAGCAGATTATGAATATACTTAATATTCACAAATACCCAAACAAGGTGTCTACACGGCGCAACGTGACAAAAGCAAATAGAACCCAGTGATGTTCTATCAGTGGATGCGGCGCGACGCGACACAACAAATTCATGACAGTAAACTGATGCCCCGTTCTATTTCTGACGATCTCCAGCGCTCTTACATAAAGGACCATTGGATTTGTAATGTTCACTTTGTGCGTCCAGTGTGGTGAAAAGACAAGAAAATATGACTAGGCTTATCTCGCCCACAGATTCACCAGTAAAAAGGTGGATAAACAAGTTTAGACGGCAAGTAGGCTAGTTAAGTAGTACTATGTTAATCACAATATTTCAAATCATATATATAATATATATAATTAGGTCATGTCTGAGAGGGTGCGTGTATATTCATAAGAGAATCATGAAAAAATAGTTTCCTTAGTTTCCTCAAGCAGTACAACTGTTCTCAGCATTAAAATAATCAGAATTGTTACTGAGCAGCAAATCAGCATATTAGAATGATTTCTGAAGGATCATGTGACACTGAAGACTGGAGTAATGATGCTGAAAATTCAGCTTTGATCACAGGA